AGGTCCACAAGAGTCACCTCATTAGTATACACTCAGGCATGGTTGAAAAGGGCTCATTATGAATAACAAAACATGCTCCTCTCATCTCTATCACTCAGGAAATTACAAGGTTTTTAGGAACTCTGTGCCAGGAACCAGGGACAAAGACAAAATACATATTTCTTATTATATCACTATGTCGCCCCTCCACATGAATGAAGAGGGTGGATCTGATCTTGTTTTCTGTTAGTACTGTGGACATGTTTGAGATTTAGCAGTGGCTGAATTTCTCCCTCTGTTATGTGAAAAACACACACACATTTTGTGATTTGAAACAAGTCCAAAGAAAATCTTTTACAACTATAATGATATCCAGAACCTGGTAATTTGAAAGATAAGAATTGTTTTTCATATAGTCAAATGGATTGTGTCTGTAAATGTAGTCTTCTTAATTGTATGTGCTCCTTTAACTTCTAGACCTGCCATGGCATCTTCCTGGCAGGGTACAGTGGTGTGCGGGGACGAGGCTGGCCTGACTGACTTTCCTAGGCCCTTGGAACAGACTGGGTAGCTACTTATAATCTGGAGAGATAGGCAAAAGAGTTTGAGATTGTGGCAACAACATGCAAATCTTTGAGTCTCAATCATATTTTGAGTTTCCTCTAGATTTGAGAGTCAAACAGACTCGCAGGTCTCACTTCCATGTGCTCAAACCTATCTTTTCTGGCTCTTGTGGAAGTGTCTGGCTCCTGATGTTGGCTTCACTCCTGGGAATGTGAGTACAGCTCCAAAGGTGTGACACCCAGGGCTTCTGAGACCCATCTATGGGTTACTCTGAGCTTAAGCAGAAGGTGAAATTCGACTAAACAAACCCACCAGTCAGGACACAACCACTAAGTTTCTTTTGATTCATTTTGAAACCATTTTTAAATTTTTCGCAATTTTCTTTCAAACACTCAGCCAAGATTTTTCTTAAAACATGACTTCACTTTGCTTAAATAAAATAGGCCAGTACTGTAACATATAGGCCAGTTTTATAACATATGATTGATACACAAACAGACAGATAGATATTGTCCAGGCTGTCCATGTATCAGACAGCCAGAGGGCATTAGATGAGTACAAGTTTTTTAGGGAAAACTCCTGTAAGAGAAAATGGGGAGTGAGCTCCGAGAGAGGGGAGAGCCCTCAGACCCAGGTGCAGATGATCCCCGGTAGAGAGGGAGGTGGAGAGAAACTGGGTGGGACTGTCTCACTACATTGCTAAGAAAGTTTACCAACCTATCAGGAGTCTTCAGGTTAAGAACACCCATCAGAGGAGTTCTACACTTCCCAGGAATGGGCCTGCCTTAGTGTCCCTGCCACGCTAGGTTGTGAGCTGAGAACAGCAGGTGGGAATCAAGATGCAGCAGCTAGTGGCCAGTTGCATTCCCTGTGGTTGGATATTTGAGGGGCCCTGACCGCCACAGATAGAGAGGTAGATGATAGATGCCAGATAGGTAGGTAGGTAGGTAGATAGATAGATAGATGCATAGATACATAGATAGATAAATGGCCAGATAGATAGATAAGCAGAATTAGAAAGGAGATATATATATATATATATAATATTTATAGTAACTTTCTCTGGGAGGAATTGTGGGACATTTGTGGGGGTTTTCTGTTGTACTTTTATGTTTTCTAAAGTTTCTGTACTTCAGCGTGTGTATTCTTTAAAAGCTCTGGATTGAGATTTAAGCAACTCTCTTTAAGGTAACCCCTTTCCTATCTCAGAAATTTACAACGCTTATGATGTGTACGTGTGTGTCCTTGCTTGGGCCAATTTGCACCAAGCTTTCTGATTCTTCTTCACTGTCTCCAGCTTCTTCTTCTTCCCCCCAGAAAATTCACTAGAAACATCCCTTTGGGGGGAAGAAGCAAGCCTGTTTATAATCTTCTGTCCACATCCCCTTTCTAACCATGCTTGCTGGCTCTTGCCTACTAATTATATTAAAAAGTGGGAACTAATCCAGGGGCTGAAAATACGTGTCCTAGGCTCTCTAACAAAACATAAAGGATCCATCTGAGGAACAAACCACAGATTAGGATCTTAAGAAACTCAAAATGAAGCTGTGCCCTAAGAGATGTATACCCAAAATCTACTAGTGTGTAATACAAGTTCATTCCATTGTAAGATTATTTTGGTTACAGAAGCTGTACTGGATTGAATAATGTCCCCCAAAATTCCTGTCCACCTGGAACTTCAGGACGTGATCTTATTTGGAAATATTTATTGCAGATATAGTTGAGATGAGCTCACGCTAGATTAAGGTGGGCCCTAAATCCAATGACAGGTATCCTTCTAAGAAGCCAATGAGAAGACACAGAGGAGATACACACAAGCAAGACTATATGAAGACAACAGCAGAGACTGGTGATGCAGCTGCAAGCCAAGGAATGCCAAGAATTGCCAACGACCACCAGAAACCAAGAAGAAGCAAGGAAGGCCCCCTCACCCCCACCCCCGAGCCCTTTCAGAGGAAGCATGGCCCTGTCAACATCTTGATTCCAGATGTCTATTCTCCAGAACAGTGAGAAAATAAATTTCTGTTGAATTAAGCCACCCAGTTCATGGTACTTTTTTGCAGCAGCCCGATGAATCTCATACAGAAGGCAATGTGACAAAGCTTCATCGGGGAGGTGCCCGTGGACCAGGAACCTCTGAGCAGACAGGCCATTGTGTGACCTCCTCATGTCCCCTCTCTTCCATCAACACAGTCCATTAGTGATAAAGCATCCTAGATGAGGACTGGTGACACCCGAGCTGCTTTCAGGAATGACCCTCTCTGCCAACTCACATTCCAAAGCCAAAAGCTGTGCAGCACTGGATCAGATTTTTGATCTCCACACATAAATGGATAGCAAAAAGTGCATGAACAGTTTACATGGGGACTCTGGGGCACGAAGAGCAAAGATGCTCATCCTCACAGAACAGCTGCTTCTATCTGTTGCCTCACTCAACCAAATATGAGGCACTCCTTAGGAAAGAGTCCAAATGAGTTGAAGTGGGGCTTTGTTTTAAGTGCACCCTGACTGTTGATGATTGTGAACATAACAAGAAACCAGCCTCGGCTCCATTTGCAGGTGGTCATTCGTTGCCAACCTCTCTGTGGGAAAACAACCACCTTTCGTCATAACAATGCTGTCACAGGGAGTCTGCAGAGGCCATGCACAAAGCTGACCTGGAGGGGCCAGGGCTGGAAAGAGGGCAGGGGAAGGAATGGCTAAAGCTGTCCACAGATTGCAGACCACGACCGAGGGGTCAGCATGTGCGCAAAGCGACAAGCAGTTCTGGTAAGCCCTGAGGGCGAAGCCACAGCCAGAATGGCACCCTGTCAGGGCACCCTGAAGAACAGAGGTGCCACGGAGTGTCTCAGTAAGGAAGGACAAACTGGGAATGGAGAGGTCAGAGTGGAGCAGGTGGCTCAGGCCTGGGGAAGTCTGGCGGGTTGCAGAGTGGGAGATAGCAGAGAGTGCGAGAGTGAGCTGGGGAATCAGTGGGGTAGAGCCCTCAGTACTCTGGAGGGTCCGCCACATTGCTGCGGTTCTGCAGGACACGGAGTATAAACATTGACACTACTTCCTGGAATTTTAGCTTCTGTCCGTGCTCTGATTTTTTCATTTGGCCTTGTGTGTGCTGTGGTTTAGCAAGACTCTTCAGGGCCGATATTCTCAAACGTCTTCATTTTCTGCAAAGATCTTACTTTGCCTGTTGCATGTGTCTCACTAACTGTGTAGAAGCTGCCGCTTTTCAAAAGTTCGGTCTAAGTTCTGGGCTGCCAAGTGACATGGGATAGTGATAAATAGATTGCCGCAACTTCAATACAAATGTGGAAATAAGGAGAGAAATAGGAGGAAAACTGGGAGTGTGTGTCCTACGGGCTGGAGTTACTTGGGGGACTCGACGTGATGACGTATATAAAAAATGTAGCAGGCAGGGTCCTGTCAGGAAAGAGAACCCACGCGGTAGGTTAAACAGAGAAATTTTAATATCAAAATTATTAGGTGTAATAAAGGAACAGTTATAAGATGAAAGGAAACTATTGCACGCTAGGGCTGAGGGATGGCCCCCAAAGCAGGAAAACTTGGCAGGGCTTCAGCTCTCACTGGAGAAGGTGCGATTGGGCCGTTGGACAGCCCAGAGAAGCAGGCCGGTTTGGCCAGACTGGAGCGGGTCTGGAGTTGCTGGGCAAACAACAGACCGCCCTCTGGAGGGCAGACAGGGAGCAGGACTCAGCCGTCAGGGGCACCAGGCCTGCAGGGGGAGCCTGGGCTCAGGAAGGGGCAGAGGGCCTTCAGAGCGCGTGCCACAGGGGTAGGGGAAAGGAGGGAGCTTATAGACAGGGGGCTGCTCAGGGGTACCCCTGGCCACACGCATGCTACGCGAGGGCCCTGCTGGGGCATTTTTTTCCCCAAATCAAGAGGTCTGCGGACAGGTTATCAGCAGGCCAAAGCTGCGACGTTGCACAGGGAGCACTTTTAGGGCTCCTGGTCTAGGCATAATGCACCGGAAGTGGTCCTACCCACGTGGCTGGCTCTCTCGCCCCTCCCATCGGAAGTGGCAGGAGGCCTCTTCCTCCTACAATGTCCCCTCAGCTCCCTCTACTGGGAGAGCTTAGCAGGGTGCTCCCTGTAAAGGAGAAATACTTAAAGCGAATCTGATGTTTGTTATAGAGCCTCTACTGAACTGAGTATTCAGAGCTGAGAGGAAATAAATTGGTAATGACTCAGGGAGCTTAGCAAAGAGACTGCCATGTAGTAGGTGTTCAGTGGTTGAAAGATGTCAGTGTGACTTCTTATTCAGTGAAACATTTAAATTATTTGGAACACATTTAAAAGTTGGGCAGCTGCGTTGATATTTGTTGTCATGTAATTTATTGCTGTGTTATTTAACTAGACGCAAAGTTAAGAATCTATGTGTAAAATATTTCTCTTTTCTAATTCATGTTCCTTTTCTTTTTTTTCGTTTTCTTTTTGTCTAGGTCTTATATAATATCTTAATTGCCTTCACAAAGATGCATAAATTTGAAGACATAGAACCTGTTGACATTTTGGCTGGATGTGCCCGATTCGTTATTGTGGGGGTTGGGGGAGTATTTTTCGGCATCATTTTTGGATTCATTTCTGCGTTTATCACACGTTTCACTCAGAACATCTCTGCAATTGAACCACTCATCGTCTTCATGTTCAGCTATTTGTCTTACTTGGTTGCTGAGACGCTCTATCTCTCTGGCATCCTAGCGTGAGTACAAACCAAGGACCGACTCTCATAGCAATGAAAGAGACTTTAGGACTGCCTCTTGTGGACCAGCATCTGGAAAAGGCTTGACTTCTGATGCTAATTCTCAAAGGTGTTGTAGGATTCAGGTTTTTTAAACTTTTGTAAAATCTGATTCCGGTCCTTTGCCAAACAAATGTTCTCTCCCACATTTGCATTTGCTCTCTTCTCGTGATTTGCCTGAGGAGAGCATAGCAATTATGCTCAGAAAAACTGATGCAGAGCAGAGCTGGGAGAAATTCAGAGTTAAAGTCTTAGTTCAGCAGATTTTTTTTCCTTGAAAAATTCATTATTTTAAACTTAAAGGGAAGCATTCCTGAGCTCTGCCTCTTGTTATTTCCCTCAAGTCATCAGAGCTCCAGGACTGGTCAGTATGGAATAACACTAGCGAGATGGGATAAGACTAGAAATCCAGATTTCTTTGTCCTAATGTAAATATTTTGAAATGTTTGTCCTTGTGTAGATCTCGGAACGAGGCTCTTCAACTCGGCTTAATATATCTGGTCATGTTCTTTTCTTTATGACATTATCCTCATACTCAGCTATGTGGGCAGAAACATTTAATTGTATTGTATAGAAATATCTCTTTTAGTTAAATATAATAGTGTAAAATCTGGGCATTCATCATTTTCCCACCTTAAAAGCAAGCAGAACTACTAAGACAAGGCAAATTCCTATCTTTCCCCCCTAGACTTGCTAAGTAGCTCTAGAACGGAAACATTTTGAATGAAAAATTCCTCATTAAATTATTGTAAGAATATTGCAATATGAGGGACCTTGCAGAATTACTCTTCCTAGGTAACTGCATTGGATTTATTTTGGTTTGAGGCAGACTGAAGTAGAGAGTGAGAGGTGGGACTGACAAAGCTCTTGATGAGGGAGGGCAAGATAGAAACAGTTCTGCTTTGGATTTGTACAGCGTTGATGCCTTTTTGTTGTGGGAAAGCCAGGCCACGCCCACCTTCCCCACCAACCTCAACTTGTGCAGACCCTTGGACAGGAGAAGAGGAAGAAAGAAAATGTGTGGGGAATCTGCAGCCAGAGAGGGGAAGGGAGAAGGTGTTGTCTCTGGATAAAAGCAGGATTCGTGTATGAAGGATTTTTCATGGAGGGGCAACATCTTGCGGCTTCCCTCAGACTCTGCTTCTTTTTCAGAATCACAGCCTGCGCGGTGACAATGAAGAAGTACGTAGAGGAAAACGTGTCCCAGACATCCTACACCACCATCAAGTATTTCATGAAGATGCTGAGCAGTGTCAGCGAGACCCTGATCTTCATCTTCATGGGCGTGTCCACCGTTGGGAAGAACCACGAGTGGAACTGGGCCTTCATCTGCTTCACCCTGGTCTTCTGCCAGGTCTGGAGAGCCATCAGTAAGAGACAGCAGAGCCCCGAAAAATCTCTTGCCTGCTTCTTTTTTTTTTTTTTATTTTTCTGATTCTCCCCTGCAGTGTAAAAGCATAAGCACGCAGTGAGGTGATGCTAACTGGTTCTGCTGGTTAGGGGAGTGTAGACACCTTCCAGTGGCCGGGAATGTTTTCTGTATAATTCCTTCAATCAGTTCAAAGCAATTAGTGGCTGATAAGGTTCTGCTTTGAAGCAAGGCTGGAGCAAGGAGTATTTTTTTTTAATTGAATACAGCGCTTTCACATCTACACATTTAAATATAACTCAGTAAATTTATCCCCTGCTCTTCACTTCTTTGCCAATTTGTACCCTCTTGCATCTTAAATCAGATAATAGATTATAAACTGAGGGCATTGACACTTTTGTTACAGGAAAAGTGAGATCTCACAAGTTGTATTCTGTGTGCGGAAAGTACTGCTAGAAAACAGCGCCCTAAATAATACAGGTGGTTTTAGTTGAGGATTGAGTGTGATGTACAGAAAACCAAGGACCAGGAAGTGAACCTTTATTTTTAAAAAGTGCTTCGTAATAAGTAGTGAAAGCAACTCTATAATGTAATTGGTGTCATCCCTACAAAATGTGCCTAATTTAAAAAATGAGATGACTAATGGCTGCTGATGTATCTTGTACATTTATGTTTCTGGAGCCAGAAAAAAACATTAAGCACTGAACTACAATATATGTGCTGCCTTTTGATTAGAAGCAATTATATTTTTAAATGATTTTGATCAATATTTGAAGCATTTCTTAAATGACTTTGATCAATATTTTCAAGCCAATTACTGAGAGAGAAATTAGGAGAAATGGCTGAGACTTATCTTGAACATATTAATTCTAAATTAGTTTTGGATGGGTTTTAGGATCTAGGAAAGAATAACAAGTATGCAGAAACATTAAAATATTCATAAAACTGACTCTGAATATATGTGCCTGTTGGGTGGCCAGGGGAGAAAATAATTAAGGAAATTGTGATAAATTTATAATCTCACATCAAATCCTCACACTATTGCTAACTAGCTATTTGGCCTCGGATAGACATTTAACTACTGAAAATCGTCCTCAACCACAAAATGGTGGGCAAATTTCTTAGGTTCCTTTCAGTTCTGAACTATAGGGGTGTTCAGAGGGGTAGAGCTAATGTCAAAAGACAACACTACATATCTTCAGCCCAGCCGACAAGAATAGAAACCATGTAGGAGAGCGTTAATATCGTGGATACCTCCATATCGTCGACCTTGGTGACCATCCAGCCCAACTCCTTCATCTTTTAGCTGAGAACAGTAACCAAGAGAATGGCTGACTTGGCCATATCACACTGAGGCACAGAGCCAGGTGTCAGAATCTATTTCTCCCACTCCCACCCTGTTCTCCTCCCAGCCTGACTCATTGTAGCTAAAAATAATTCAGGAAGGCTCATAACGTATAAGAGCCTGCTTTATGTTATTTATAGATATTAAATTTATTTAGGCCTTGCATCCACCTTCTGAGGCGAATGCTATCGTTACCTCCATTAAGCGGATAAGACTGAGTACGTGGATATATTAAGAAGCTCGCCCAAGATCACACGACTAGTATGTGGAGGAGCCAAACAATGAAACAGTTTCAACCTTACTGTCTGTTGCCCCGTCAACGTGGCTAATGAAAGGGGGCTTGCCCTGAAGCGTCTGTGACTAGGAGTCACGTGAGGATACTGAGAACTTCATTGTTCTTCAGTGAAACCTCTTTAATTGGTCAGAGCTTTAATGAAGGGACCTTTCCCACCAGGAGCACAGCACTGGTGGTGACTAGGTCACGGGGCCACTTGGGGATGAAACTCAGTGAGGTAGAAAACACCTCTACATTTTAGACAAGCTCCTCCACCCTCCGCTTACGGACAGTAAGAGGCACCCCTTTGAACCCTTGCCAACACCCTTTCTTGTTTGCATCAAATCTCCAAAAGAACCAAGCCAACCACAAAAGATTTGCTCACCCTGCAGAGACCACAATCACCGAGTCGGCTCTTCTCATAGTTAAAGTGTACACCTCCTTCGGTTACGGAACATGAGACGATAAAAGTATTTTTATGCCCCATGGAATCCCCTTGCTTGACCTAGTTTTGGAAGGTAGAGTGAAAATTATGGGCATAGATTAGAAAATATCTGCCAGGGTCTGGCTCCGTGGCCGAGTGGTTAAGTTTGCACGCTCTGCTGCGGCGGCCCAGGGTTTGGATCCTGGGCACGGACATGGCACCACTCATCAGGCCGTGTTGAGGCGGCATCCCACATCCCACAACTAGAAGGACCTGCAACTAAGATATACAACTATGTGCGGGGGGTTTAGGGAGATAAAGCAGAAAATAAATATATATCTGCCCTTTCATATATCAAAAAGTATCAAGATTTTATTACTTTAAATACACACACACACATACACACACATGCTAGGAAACTACCAATCTGAAGCACTACTGGCCCACAACTAGTCAAAAGCTGATAAGTCTTGGGGCTGACTCAGTAGTGTAGTGGTTAAGTTTGCACATTGCACTTCAGCAGCCCAGTGTCTGCTGGTTTGGATCCCAGGCGCAGACCTACACACCACTCATCAAGCCATGCTGTGGCGGTGTCCCACATACAAAAAATAGAGGAAGATGGGCATAGATGTTAGCTTAGGGCCAATCTTCCTCATCAAAAAAAAAAAAGAGAGATGGTAAGTCTTGTAAGATACTCTGTTCGGGACAGACAATCCTGGGTGTGATGGAATTAGGTGGCCTTGTTTGGAGGGCACATGCACGCGACTTGGGTTCACTAGCACTGTACCTCTACCCATTCATGACCCTCTGCTCTAATATGTATTTCCCTTTTCTAGGCGTATTTGCTCTCTTCTATGTCAGTAACCAGTTTCGGACTTCCCCCTTCTCCATCAAGGACCAGTGCATAATTTTCTACAGTGGTGTTCGAGGAGCCGGAAGTTTTTCACTTGCATTTTTGCTTCCTCTGTCTCTTTTTCCTAGGAAGAAAATGTTTGTCACTGCTACTCTAGTAGTTATTTATTTTACTGTATTTATTCAGGTTAGTAGATTTCTTTCATATTTGAAATAAGTAGTTTCTTACAGGGTTATGTATTAAATTAGCATAAAACCAAAAAAGGGACACTTTATCTGATTTTCAGATGTGCGCTCAATACCCAAATTAAATTACCAAATATTTCTGGATCATATTTATGATCTTCCTTTAACCTCTAAAATATGATGCCTTGTAATCAATAAAATGTATTAATCAAAATATCCCTGGGTAGCAGGTGAATGATACTGTACTGTGTATTGCTGAAAGGATATTCCGGTCAGTACTAGACAGCACAAGTTTTTACTTTAGCTGGAGCCTTCTCTTAGCAAACTAAACAGACTTTATTTTAAAGGATGAAACTAAATTCCTGCTTTAAAATATATGTATAATGCCTATTTCTATTGCAGAATTTAAAAGAATTAAATAAGAACTAAAGTAAACACTGGAGCTTTTATCCAGTGGAAGCTAGTACAAAACAAAAACAGAAAAATTGGAGGTTCTAATAGTTTTGCTAATAGATTTGCTCTCTAAAAGGACAATCTTCACTGCTCCAACTGTATTTTGTTATTTTGTTATTTATGACCTAGGGAATCACAATTGGCCCTCTGGTCAGGTACCTGGACGTTAAAAAGACTAATAAAAAAGAATCCATCAATGAGGAGCTTCATATCCGTGTAAGTTATCTCTTGGTCATAATTAATAAGTTAATAAGATGTCCCCATTTGCCACCTACGGGAGTAATCTAGAGCTTTGATGGGACGTGTGTACACGTCACTAGACATAGCCTCTTTTCTCTCCAGCTCTACCAAGAGCAACTGTACTAGTTTTCTAATGCTGCTGCAGGAAATTACCGTAAACTTAAAGGCTTAAAAAAACACGAAGTTATTATCTTGTAGTTCTGGTGGTCAGAAGTTCAAAATGGGTCTCACTGGGCTAAAATCAAGATGTTGCATGGCTACATTTCTGGAGGTCCTGGCGAAGAAGCAGTTTGTTTGTCTCTTCCAGCTTCTAGAGGCTGCTGGCATTCCTTGGCTGGTGGACCCCTTCCATCTTCAAAGCTAGCAATAGCAGGTCAGGGCTTTCTCATGCTGCATCACTCTGATACGGACTCTTCTGCCTTCCTCTTTCACCGTAAAGGCTTTTATGATTATATTGGGCCCATGTGGATAACCTAGGATACTCTATCTTAAGGTCAGCTGACTAGCACCCTTAAGTCCATTTGCTATCTCAATTCTTCTTTGCACATAAACTAACATACTCACGGATTCTGGGGATTAGCACATAGACATCTTTGGGGACCGTTATTCTATCTATCACAGTCTTCTCTCTGCCTCTCAAGCATTCATGTCTTTTCCACATGCAAAATACATTAACTCTACTCCAACATGCCCAAAGTCTCAATCCCTTGTAGTATCAACTCAAAGAATAAAATCTCGTCTAAATCTATTCAACTCAAAAGTCCCAAATCTCATCATCTCAATCGTCTAAATTAGGGATGGGTGAGGCTCTGGGTATAACCCCTTCTGAGGCTCAGCTCCTCTCTGGTTCTGAACCTGTGACACTCAAGAAACAAGTTGTCTGCTCCCAAAATACACTGGCAGGGCAGTCATAGGATAACAGGTATAGCTATTTCCTTTCAAAAAGGGGGGGAAATGGGAGGAAAAATGGGAGTCATCTATCCCAAGCAAATTTCTAAGTCCACCTGGGAAAGCTCTATTTGGTTTCAAGGCCTGGGAACAGTCTTCTGTGATTTTTTGCTCCACCCTCTGAGTTCTCAACTCCACCCTCTGAGTCATACTTCCTTTCTCATGAAAGGTAGCAAGTGTTTGCAGCCCCTTAATTTCGATCAGCCTGTTTCTTGCCTGTAGAATTTGGGGGGGTCCAACAGCCTTCTTTCGTTTTGTCTTCTCTTTCCCTTTCAGTCCGAGCTGGCAGTGCTTCTGTCAGGGTTCCACGGAAGCAGAACCAGTAGGAGATGTATGCTCAGAGCTTGGTTGAGAGGAATCAGTTTACCAGTGAGGGGCCTGGCTAAGCAATGCAAAATCTGTAGAACAGGACTTCTTGGGCATGAGCTACAGCTGCTGTGCACACATGGAATTTTCTTCTTCTTTTATTTAACTTTATTCACTTTTTATTTTATTTTATTGAGGTCATATTGGCTTTTAAGATTGTGTAAATTTCAGGTGTACTTTGTTTCAGTTTCAGTGTGGATTGCATTGTGCTCACCACAATAGTCTAGTTTTTATCTGTCACCATACACATGTGCCCTTTTACCCCTTTCACCCTCCCCCCACCTCCTTTTCCTCTGGTAACCACTAATCTGTTCTCCTTATCTATGTGTTTATCTTCCATATATGAATGAACTCATACCGTATTTCTTTGTCTGACTTGTTTCACTTAGCATAATACCCTCAAGGTCCATCCACGTTGTCACAAATGGCATGATTTTGTCTTTTTTGTGACTGAGTAGTATTCCATTGTGTATATATATACCATATCTTCTTTATCCATTCATATGTTGGGCACTTGGGTTGCCCCCATGTCTTGGCTATTGTGAACAAGGCTACAGTGAACATAGGGGTGCATAAGTATTTTTGAATTTTTGTTTTCATATTCTTTGGATAAAATAACCAGTAGTGGGATAGCTGGATCATATAGCATTTCTATTTTTAGTTTTTTGAGAAGTATCTGTACTATTTTCCATAGTGGCTAGACCAGTTTGCATTCCCACCAGTAGTGTATGAGGGTTCCGTTTTCTCCACATCCTCTGTAACACTGGTTATTTCTTATGTTGTGAATTATACTCATTCTGACGGGTGTGAGGTGATATCTTATTGTAGTTTTGATTTGCATTTCCCTAGAAATTAGTGATATTGAACATCTTTTCATGTGCCTGTTGGCCATCTGTATATCTTCTTTGGAAAAATGTCTGTTCATATCCTCTGCCTATTTTTTTGATCGGGTTATTCATTCTTTGGTTGTTGAATTTCATGAGTTCTTTAAATATTTTGGAAATTAACCCCTTCTCAGATATATGATTTACAAATATTTTCTCCCATTTGGCAGGTTGTGTTTTCATTTTGTTGATGGTTTCCTTTGCTTTGCAGAAGCTTTTTAATCTGATCTAGTCCCATTTGTTTATTTTTTCTTTTGTTTCCCTTGCCTGAGTAGACATGATATTCAAAAAGACACTGCTCAGACTGATGCCAAATGGTATACTACCTATATTTTCTTCTAAGAGTTTTATGATTTCAGGTGTTATATTCCAGTCTTTAATCCATTTTGAGTTAATTTTTGCGTGTGGTGTAAGATAGTGGTCTACTTCCATTCTTTTGCATGTGGCTGTTCAGTTTTCCCATTATTGGAGACATTTGCTCTCTCCATTGTGTGTTCTTGGCTCCTTTGTCAAAGATTAGTTGTCCATAGACGTGTGGGTTTATATCTGGGCTCTCAGTTCTGTTCCATTGATCAATGGAATTTTCTTCTTCATCAGGGAAGCTTCAGCTCTGCTCTTCAGGCTTTTCAATTGATCAAATCAGGCCCACTCAGATGATCTAGGACCATCTCCCTTACTTAAAAAGAACTGATTATGGATTTTAATCTTACTACAAGATATCTTCACAGTAGAATCTAGATTAGTGTTATCAATAACTGAGGACCAGCCTAGCCAAGTTGATGTTTCAAAAAGCTATCACAGTGACTAATCTTCAGATTTGCCCTACTTGCTTCTAAAATCATTCTTCCAATGGAATGAAAGATTCTCTGCACTTTCTGAACTTTTAATTAGGAAGTCGTAAAGGCTTCTCCTACTTCTGCCTGGTGCTAAAAACATCCAACTCTGGCAAAGATGAAATGAAGCTGAGTATGGTTTCTACCTGTTTGTTTAAGTTCAGCACAGTATTGAAGGAATACCATTCTGTGTGATTCCGGGTGATAAAAATGAGAACTAATGTATGGGCGGTGTAGGGAGAGAGAATTCCTTCAGCTCAGTCAGTGAAGAGCATTCTGATCATCGTCTCTTGTATGGCACGCCCAAAGGTGAAATGGACGTGTGCAAGCAATGACTGGGAACAGTTGGCATAGTTGCTATACAGAAGATTCAAACTTTGAGAGTGTGACTGGCCCAGACAATTTTTAAGTTTCTTTCATACCTGAGAGTTCATAATTCTAATGCTGGGGGAATTGATGAAGTCTTTCAAAATCAGACCTGAATTTCATGGCCCAAGTCACTTGAGGAAATAAAGTAATTTAAATTGTAGGAAACCCAGACCAAAATTTTTCAAGACCATTTGAAAGTACTCAACAGATGAGGTTAGGGAGTGGGTGTTTTAAAAATGAGTAATGCTTTAACCTGATTTAAGGTTTTTGTCTCTATCTTTATCCCCCTGTTCATTATTTTGAGAAATTAGATAATAAACTTAAAACAATAGAACTTAGATATTTCATGCCTTTCTTGTTTATTTTTCTTTGTCTTAAAAAAGTTATAATTGTTGGCAGAAAGCGCATCAATTATTTCAGAATTAATTTAGTATTTTAATCTATTTTGAAAAAAGAATTTAGAACCAGTATAAACTTCAATGATTACAAATTTAATTTGAAGACTAATCATAAATTTTGAAGAGATTGTACTTTTTCCCTAAATTCTTGTAAAGAATTTTGATAAAGCAAATGTTGTACAATTGGCTTGGATAGTGAAATGTAAATACTGAGAGGAAATGATTAGCTAAAAAGTGAGGCATGTGGATAAATTTTGTTGTTACATGTTATTATTATAATAGAATATCTGTGGAATTATATTTTCAGAAACTGTATAAATTGGATATTGACATTTTCTTTTCTTTGCAATGAAATTAAAAGTAACAGTTAATTATTAGGCTTTACATCCATGTGATTTTAGTACTGAGCAGTTTCCTAGATCATTCTAGAAAAATATTGTGCAAAGCAAATGGCAGGTACCCTGTTGCCATTGCAAGTTATGTGCATTATTAAGGAACTTATCTACAGAGTCTTTGAATCATGAAACTAAGTTGAATTCCTTTGAAAGGCATTGTAAGTTTCAGTTACATGAACAGAGTGATAGAGAAGAGAATATGCTGCAGGAAATTAAAGGCTCCTTTGTTTTCCAAAGTGTATTAGCTTTCCCCGTGTGTCTTTTAAAGTTAACGTTTCACCAGCTATCATTTTCTCGTGTTTGGTTTGGCAGTTGATGGATCACTTGAAGGCCGGAATTGAAGATGTGTGTGGGCAATGGAGCCACTACCAAGTGAGAGACAAGTAAGGAGGCCGAGGGTTTCACTATCTAGGAGGGATATTGTGGAATGGGAACTTCAAAAGATTACCTTGGAAGCTGAGCACAGAACTAGAAAGAAGCCAGAGGAGGGGGACCAGGAAGATAAAGGGCCTGGGAGCCATGCCATACCAGAAGCAGGTAGGAGTCCTGGGAACACCTAGCCTGGAAAATGGAGAACTGTCTGGTGGAGAAGTCTGTAGACTTGCGCTAAGTTGCTTTAGAGAAAACTAGTACGACTGATAGATGGAAATTAGAGAAGTCAGATTTAAATTTAAAACTAGGACAAGTTTCTCAATGATAAGAGGAGCTCAACCCGGGCATGGCTGGCTTCATGAGGCTGCAAAGGGAGTTTGGTAACTCATCAGGGATCCAGGGGAAGAGATTCCTCCATTGTGGGGGAGGCTGCAGTGGAAGAACTTGAAGGGTTCTTCCCACATAGTGATTCTATAAGAATGCCTAAGTCCCTCTTCTCTACCACATCACTCATTTCAGAACTCATTCTCTTCCTGCATTTAGTCTATAGCCATATATTAATTATGTGGCTCTGAGGAGAGTATCACTGAGGATGAGGAGGATGAGAGTTTTGGAGTTATACACAGCTGTTTGGAGAATTTAGGAGTTAGCAGTAGTTAAGTTAACCAAATGGTAGAAGTTTCCTCTTTAGGGCTTGCCAATGTGTTGATGTTGGTGATGCCAAGAGAGACTAGATCTTAAAAAGTCTGGCTGTTGTGGAGTGGTGCCACCTAAAAGGGAACTGAGAGCTCTTGAGTGGCCTCTTTTTGTGAGGTAGAAAGAAGGATAGTTTTCGCAGTCCTCGTTGCATTAAAGTAGAATTTAAATTATGTGAACATCCACCAATCTGGAACTCAGGCCAGGCATTTTTGAAGTCCGAATCCTATCATTTTCCCAAATGAAAATCATTTAATATTCTTCCATTTAGTGAAATCTATGCCTAATTTTCTAGACACAAAGGCAGATATCAAGAGCAGTGTGACACACTCAGTGCACTCAAGGTCCTCAAGATATAGCAGAAGGGCTCCTGGGGGATGAAAGAACCTGAACAAATAATTAAGACCAATATGGGAGATGCTATAACAGAGGTAAATGCATAAATCTATGATAATACAGAAATGGGAGTGCGTTTTGAAAAGAAATGAGGAGTTCTCCAGGAAAAGAAGAATGGAAAGCATGCGAAGTGTAGCAGTAGCAGTAGTGTATTTTGATACACAAAGGCAAGCAAGAGTATAGCATAATTTAGATACGGTCAGAGAGACTGATGTGGTGAGACAAGAGGTTGGAAAGACAAAGACATTGCTTTTATGATGCACTGCTGAGGAGCTCTATACAGCCATTAATACTGTAAAATTCGATTTGACCTTTAAAACTCATATGAAAGGCTTTTAAATAGAAGAGTGGCATGACCATACTTGGCTTTTGGAAGGCAAACTACAACAGCAATATGGAAACTGGATTAGAAAGAGAGAACGTGGTGAGGTAGAGCAGTAGGAGGATTTTCACATGCATGTAAAATTCTTTTAAAAAACAACTATCATCTTGTAAACATAAAATAAGCTCCAGGTACTATGAAAGCTGTTTCATATATTTTATCTTACGTGATCTCCTTAACAGTCCTGTGTTAGTGCTATTATTCTCATTTTAAAGATGAGGAAACCAACTCCAAGACGTCAGTTCAGCTATTCTGCAGTGGAACCTTGATTTGATTTCAGGACTGACTTTAAAACCTCTTTTGTTTTGAGTGAACCACAGAGCTTTCAGACCAGTAGGGATAAGGGACTAGCAGGAGGGGTACTGAAATATTTCTGAGGCAGACGTGGTGACTGGTGATGGGCACAGGGAGAGGAGGGTGAGGAAAGGGAAAATAAGAACGACTCTCAGAATCCCAGAGAGGGAGCCTAGGGAGACAGCACTGCCTACAGAACGATAGACTATGGAATAATATTTAGCGAATAGTAGACTGGAGAAGAATATTAAGTTAAATAGTAGATTCTCTTTAAGATGTCTCAAACCGATACTCAGCCCCATTTTGGAATTTCGTCTCAAGCTCAGAAGGAAGACCATGGCTAGAGACAAAGGCTGTCAGTGAGTATTTGGTAAGTGAAGCCGTGGGCACGGGTGAGGTAACTACAAGGAAGTGAAGAGGGGATGCTGAATGAGGACAGGACTCTGAGAAGCTTCCACTCTTACGGGGCAGGTAAGGAAGAGGAAGGGCAGGGGAGACTCAGAAGAAGTGGTTAGGGAGGCTGGAAAGGAAGAAAGTGTGAATCAGGATGTGGAGGGCATGGAGGAAGTGACCCAGTGGCACATCAGGAGAAGCCAAGTGGCTTGTAGGGCAAGGACAATGGCAACCAGTGGTGTTGAACAGCACAAGGTCAGGGGGAGCTCAGTGTGAAGAGTGTCAGAGAAGTCCTGATGGTTGGGGAGCCGATTATAGTGGAGTAAGGAATAAATGGGAACATGCCTTCTCATGAAGAAAAGCAGAAAACTAGAAGGCTGAGGGAGTGAGCGAGTTGCATCAAGAGTGGGCCTGGTATGAGCCAAACACAGAGCACAAGGCTCAAGGGATGGCAGCCCGCTAAACCCGGAGGAGACTTGACGATGCATCCGTCCTCCTCACAGACCAGGAAATCAATCACCAGATAATAAGCCAGCAGCCCGGGGAGTTATGTTCCCCTCCAGAAAATAAAGCAGGCTGACAAATTACTCTTTGAATGTAAAACGATTGGAAGTGTTAAAAATTCTACTCCAAACAAACGGCCGACTCTGAAGGCACCAAAGTCATATGTGCAGCTCGGTCTAATGGGTCCGCCAGAGATTTGCTACAACAGTCAGAGGCCACCAGCGGCTAGCCTATTCAGAGTCTCCATCATTCAGACTGTCGGGGTATATGTGGGTCTACCCTCCTTCATTGGCAGGATTTAAAATGATCTATACCATAATGGGCGAAATTACTGTAACTACTGGGCCATTTAAACTTCTTGGATTCTGGTTGAATAGGCCAGTAACACTGTAAGCGCAGCTGCCACTGTCATGAGCTGTTAGAAGGGAACACTTGCTCAAAAGCCTCAACCCCCTCATTCTTCTCTTACAATTGGAGCTGAGCTGGGCTGGGCCTCCCTCGCCTCCCACGTATGCACACTTTTTGCCCTGATTGCAGCTTGTCATTCCTTTTGTTGAGTTGATTTTCAATGTATTCAGGCCAGTAGGCCATTCTTTCTTTATTTTAAAAAATGTCTGAATTCTATGATTTCTTTAAAAAATGTATTCAAAATCTGTGAATTCCAGGCACTGTCCTGATGTTTTTCAGAATAAAGCTAAGTAGTAGTTTAAGCACGATACATACTTACGTAACATGCACAGAGATTAAAGATTTCCAACATGTTGGTTTTCATTTTTAGGTTTAAGAAGTTTGATCACAGATATTTACGGAAAATCCTAATCCGAAAGAACCTGCCAAAATCAAGCATTGTTTCTTTATACAAGAAGCTGGAAATGAAACAAGCCATCGAGATGGTAGAGACTGGGATACTGAGTTCTACAGCCTTTTCTGTACCCCAGCTGTAAGTCATGTCTGCCCTTTGATCTAGACTTTCAGTGTCAGAATTCCAAGGGACACTAACTCATTGTTCCATTTAGAGATACTACTAAGAGTGAAGAGGCAGATATGTGAGGAAGAAGTCATGAGAAAAAGATGATCTAAGTATTGGTATTTTATAGCTTGGGTCATGCTCAACCCATTTCACCTAGTTTCTGAAAATTACTTTATAGCAAAAGTTGCCTGCTATAGTTGTATGACATCTTTCTTTGGGAGGGAGAAGCCAGTGAATTGATAGAATTATAGCATATTTTGCAAGACTTTCTCTTTCTCTTCCTGATTGGAAATCTCTACCCTTTAATCTCCGCTCACTTGATTCTGCTAATCCTACTGCTGCATTTCTCCCATGAGTCGTGCCCCTTCCTCTCTTGCATGAGGAGAGACCGAGTCAGCATCCTGTGCCACTAACTTGGATTTGAGGATGAATGGTGGCAGCTACAGGTGTGGAGGTTGGTGGGCTATATAAAGAGGAAGCTGTGTTTATAATTGTGTCTAAAGCAAAGATCTGTGTGAGACGGTGAGACTTGCCTTGAGTCTGTGGGAGACTAGCTTCGAATAGGAGCAGGGAGGGCACCAGCTTTCAGCGGAACACAGGACCTTAGGGAGTTGACATCGAGGCAGGGTGTAGAGTGGGGTAAGACAGGCGTATAAATCCATCATTACAAGAGGATTCCCTTTGAAGCATAGTGCTTCTGTTGGAGCATCTGGAAACCAACTGTCTCAAGAGCTGGCAAGACATTTCTAAAGCTGCTTTAACTCTCTGACTTTTTATAAGAGCCCCTTTAATGTCACAAGAATTAACTCACTCACCCAAGATGCCTGGTTCTATTCCAAGAAACGGTTTCTGTTTTGGGAAAATTAGTCACAATGTACATTTAGGATAAGGAACACCAGCCCCTCCGTCCTGTCGTCTTCAGCAGGTAAAGACACTTGATCGTGAGCTTCAATTGTGTGCTCATGTTGGAAAAGCAGGCTGAAAGAAGGGCTAAGAATGGACAGCAAGAAAATTGTCACTAATGCCTGAGCGTTATTTCTCATCCCTTACGTGCTAATGAATCAGAAGCCTCATCACTTTCCTTCCACGGCCTGGGAAAAATCTAAAGTCACATCCCTGAGGGCATCTTGGTATAAACAGAAAGCTTTCTGCCTTATTTCTCAGTGAAACTGTTTTTGTGGTTTGTTTGTTTATTTTGGTGCTGCCCATTACATGGCTTTAAGGAAACTTCCGATACTCAAATGGAAATGTGAGAACAAGTATTTATTGGCAATGCCATGCTGAGCCATACCAGAGCCTGAGGCAGAAGGAAAAATCTCTAATATTGATCCTGTCTTTATTCAAAGTGTTGGTATTTTATTTATCATGGGGTTTTTTATTTTCATTGATCTTTATTTTCTAAAATATTGCATTCGAATCCTACTTGACTTGATTACTGAACTTCTTTCGCATGCCCTTAGTGCCTCACTCGCCTCACCTTAGGTCCGACTCTGTTCCTTGCTCACCTGTGATGTGCCAAGGAGCGTGAAAGCAGACATAGTCCCTGCTCATGAAGCTCACACTCCAGCAGGGTCACGACGTTGATAACAAGTCACACAGACGTAATCCTGAAGTCTAGGGAGCTATGAGAGAATCTAAGAGGTGACCTTCCTTTGGTCCCCACGTGTTTGACCTGCTCACCGAAGGATGGAGGCGCTGCAGGAGGGCAGGACAGGTGTAGGCAGTTTAGACCAGGAGGAACTTCCTCAATTGGTTTGCTTACTAGTTGTGTGAGCACTCGGTCTAGGAATGTAGGGGCGCTTATCTCAAATGAGAATCAGTCTGTCGTGCTAAACCACATTTCGAATCTCTATCTTCCATTGCACTAGTCATAAGCGGTTGCCCCAGTTTCTGACTTCAAGGCAATTTTTAAGCCAGCTTTGTTTGGAAAGGGCCTTTCCGTGGAGTCAATTATTTTTTCCAACATTGATTCAAGATTAGTAAGTAAGCCTTATAAGTTAGAGATAATTTTTTTGCCTCCTATAGCCCAAACCGGTTTGTTAACAGAGGTAGGAGAGGAGATTTTTAAACTGATATTTAATGCAAGTTTAGTATTTAAATTGCATTTATTTGATCTCATCAGAAATCTGTAGGACTTCAAGCAAAAAGGAATTCCTCTCCTAAGATCAAAGCAACTGATTTCTTAAAAAACAAACCTTCATACAATAATAGGAAAAAGAAGTGTGTACTCAGCTCGCTTTTTATTTTTCTGTAGGAGATGATAACAACAAAATGCACATAGATTTTTTTCTTTTAGAAGTTTAAGCAATTGTTCGACAAGAGGTTTAGATTGCCAGACTTTGTGACCTGCCGGAGAACACTACCGCCAGAAGTTGTCTATACCAACGCAGACCATGTTCACCCTCTGGCATTCCACAGCTTTTACATACTTCATTTTATTTGACCCTCAGAACAACCCAATGGACTAGGTAGAGTATGTACTTGGATTAGCCTGTTAAATATGAGGCACCTCATTTTGCCAATGAGGAGTAAGCTCTCAGGAATATCAGAAGATAGAGGCTCAAACTGGTTAAAAGTGTTGAAGCTTTAAAAAATATTGGTTAATGTTAAAGAGATATTAAAACATTTATAAATTTATAAGCATAACAAGCTACAAGTATACAAATTCAAAATATTATATTTTAAAACTCCCAAGTAATTTTAACACGTAATTTATTTTAAAAAGCATAAATTAATTTATTGCAGCTTAAGAATTTTTTAATTGATCACATATGGACAGGTGTAAGTTTACATTTATGCGTTCTTACACCGAAGACTCTGGAATGAAGATTCTGATGCCATTTTCACTTCTGTAAGGGAGCATTGTGTTGTGGGGAGCTGGGTCCTCTGCCACTCTTCACTCATTGTAAATGTTGGTCATCTTGGTGACCTTTCTAAAAAGACACAAGGCGGGGCTGGCCCCGTGGCCGAGTGGTTAAGTTCACGCTCTCTGCTACAGGTGGCCCAGTGTTTCATTGGTTCGAATCCTGGGCGCAGACATGGCACTGCTCATCAAGCCACGCTGAGGCAGCGTCCCACATGCCACAACTAGAAGGACCCACAATGAAGAATATACAGCTATGTACCGGGGGGGGCTTTGGGGAGAAAAAGGAAAAAAAATAAAATCTTTAAAAAGACACAAGGCAACCACACACATGGAAGAGCCGTCAGGTACCGTTGTTTGCTCAGTGGGCACATCCTTCGGTCGTCTTAGCATACGTTTCTCATGGCTTTCGTGCATAAAGCTATGAGAAGAGGATGCATTCTTCTAAATGAATTAGGGTGAAATATTAGATCTTTTGGGAATTCATATTATGACGGGGATAGAACATCCTCTAGATTGCATTCCTGTATTGCTGCGTTTAGAATTGAAGCCTCTTTTTACATTATTATAGCATATGATAAAAAAAAGTTAAGAGAAATGTGAGTTTTTTAATCAAATACATTTGAATTCGGATTTTCCTGGTTTGATTTTAATACCCATGAAATTACCAGAGGATTTTGATTTAAGGTGGCAGAGATTTCCTTTATGGATAATGAATGGAAGTTCCAGTGACAAGAGTCTTTCCGTTTATAATTCTACTTTTGTTCTTTTTAAAGCTTCAGTGTATGGTCGTGTATCCTAGTTGTTAGTTTTTAGTCCTCTCTGTGAGCCACTGCCACAGTATGACAACCAACAGACAGGTGGTGTGGTTCTACCATCGGGAAACGAACCCCGGGCTGCAGCGGTGAGAGCTCCAAATCTTAGCCACCAGACTACCAGGGCTGGCTCTATAATTCCACTTTTTTGACCTAGAGATTATTAACACTTAGTTTTACTAAGGAGTGTATCTTTCCTGTGTTCCCGATGTGATTATTTGGGAGGATTTTGCTGACCATGATTTTGCCAATGAAGTGGCATGTAGGGAATTCCAGGTATCATCTTGCCCAAGTGAATAATTCCTCTGTATACTTTTATAGCTGCAGCTTCTTAGTGTGCACCAATGGGAGACAGTGCTTCTGGGATGCTTATATCGCACATCCAGCCAGTAGCCTGAATGGACCTTGATTAAGTGGTCAGTTATAAACGGAGGAGAGTGCCAAGTTATAAGTAGACTTCTATCTCAAGTTTAACTTCGCTGTTTCCTTTACCAATGGTTTTTTTCCTATTTGCTTATTTTATCATAAACACAGAAAATGGAACTATTTGATTAACTGTTGTTTCTGCTTAGCAATAGGTGACTTCCACCGTAAAAAGGAATGTGTTCAGACGGTGGGAATGTGTGGGTGTATGAAAATCAAAATAAATTTTATCTGAAGGACATTTAACAGTTAGGTTGAAATGCCCTGATAATAATGTTTAAATCACCAAGGGTGGTAACTGAATATCAGTAGTGTTGACATTTGAAGCTCTGAGATACTGAAACTCTGATTTTAATGCTTTGTAGAAAGGGCATTAGTCAGTCTACAGATAGCATTGCTAAATAAATCCTGGCATACTGTGATATCCAGTATCCAAGTCCTTAAAAAAAAATCTTTTACCAATCGTACATTGCTTACAAAATGTTCTTGCTATTTATGGCTATACTGCTATTAACGTTTAGGGAAAAATACTTAAAAAGTGACCTGTATTGAAACTAACAACTGCTTATCTCTGATCAATTATCCTAAAATCTTTGCAAGTAGATATTAGCACAGCAGTGTCCTTATGTGTTCAGAAGAGCTGCAGCTAGAAAAGGAAAAATCAGAACTCTGTAAGCGTTTCTATCAAGGTGTTAAGGGAGGTGAAAGTATTAAAAGATGGGTTTAATATTCTTTAGTTTTCTCTTTTCTGTTCTTATGTTCTACAGTAGACATATATTATTCATACACTAAAAAGGTTTTAAAACTGCCACTAGATTGAAATCATTGAAATCAAATATATTTGTCGCCTGAGAATTCTGCACATAGCAATGTCATGACTTTGAAATGCTCAGAGGACAGTTGTGCATTGACTGCTAACCTGGGCGTGACTTGGGTTTGAACCCCTTCCGGGGGGTGGGGGAAGCCGTGGGGAGCTGGCCAGTGCCGAGGCTCTGAGCAGTCAGCTGCTTCTAAAATCTCACAGTGGCTGGTGTCTCAGAGCCGGCTGGCTTTCTCGGTGGACACGGTCTAATTCTCCTTGTAAAATGTGATTCCAGTTTCTTACAGTTATTCTTTAACCAAAGATAAAATCCATAAAAGGACAATTACAAGAAAAATGTAATCCTAAATGTACTCATAAAGTTGTAATACTCTCTTAGATCAATGCTACTCAAAGTGTGGTGTGTGGATGGTGATGTCCATGAGGTCGTTGTCACCTGTCCTTGGTGAGATAAATACAGACCTGACCAAGAGTCAGCCTTGACTGCGTAATCTTATTTGTGCTGCATCTAACAGTAAAACATTTAGTTTGCATTTTATGGTATCTCTTTAAAAACGTATTTTCTAATAATTGATTTTTATTGTATTTTACAAACATATCTGTCTATGACAGATACAGAGGAAAAAAATAACTTGTTTGTCACTACCTTTAATCCCTTTTTAAAAATGAGAATAATTCCCACATAAAAGCTATAGGCAAAGAAACCTTATTTTCAAAATGCAAGTTAAGACATGTGTACTGACATTTCACAGGAACTTACTAAAACAGTAGGAAAGATTATGTAAAAACAGAAGTTTTGAAACTTTGATCTCCCACAAGTACATTGATACTTCGTGGCACTCTTGCCAAGAGGGAAGAATAATGCTTGGCTTCTCTCCAATGACATTTCCAGGGCCCAGAGGATACAAGGAACCAAAAGGCTTTCCCCTGAAGATGTGGAGTCCATGAGGGACCTTCTGACACACAACATGTACCAAGTTCGACAAAGGGTGTGTATAAGCCATCTCACTTGTCCCTATTGCCTGTCCTTGGAATTGGTCCTGCAGGAATCAGTTCTTGGTTACATTATCTTCCCTAAAGCAGCCTTCTTGCTGAACAGTTTCTCTCTGCTTAGTTTGGAGAACAGAAAGATAATTGTTATGTTTCTGCTGCAAAATTGGCACCTGTGGTATAGAAAGAACTGCAAATCCAGTTGCTGGCCCTAGGGGTCAGGCTGCCCTAGCCCTGCAGCCTGGTGCCTTCCAGAACCAGGAGGTATCCCTCTCCCTCCAGAGTTGACAAGTGGTGGGGTTCACCCATTGAACCACAGAAAAAAGATGGCACCAGGACACCAATGATAGTCGAGTTGTCTCAATCTGACTAACTGTAATAGAACTTACAAAATTGACACAGTTTAGATTTGAATATTGAAACTGCAATGCTGAAAGCCTTGGGCATATTCCTTTTCAATTTTGAAAAAGGTGTGGAGTCTATACCAGCACTTGGAAACTGGTCCAAAGTACGTACGTAGTAAGAACATTTCAAGGGGTGGTGGGTGAGTCCTTCTGAAACTTTGATTTAGTCAAATGATATTTAAACTTGTGTCCTTTAATTAGGGGTTTTTGCAAGTTTGAGGATTCAATTGAACATCCCAATTCTTGAGTATGATTATAAGTGAATTCATTGTGAAAGCCTTGGTTTTGGTGACCATGTCATAGATCATAGTCTTGATGGAACCAAAAAATCATCTAGTCAAATCTCCTCATTTTCAAGTAGAAGATGCTGAGGTTGGCGAGTTGTTTATCCAACTTGTTTAAGGTCACAAAACAAATCCAAGTTAAGAACCCAGGTCTTCCAACCGCCTACCCAGTGCTCTTTCCCTGACTCCAGACTTACATGATCCAGTGAAAGTGAATGTGTTCTGGCATCCTGTTTCAGAAAGGCCAGTGAGTAAGGAGGACGTGGCAGTGAAAGGCCCTGCGCCTGCTGCAGGAATGTGGGTCAGCACCAGCCAGCATGCTTAGGCTCGGCGCAACAGCTTTCACATCATTCTGAGTGAAACGGCCTCAGTGAGATGATCACCTTCTGCCTTAGACAAACAGTGAGGAACTTCCTGGTTCAAAGAGTGTCGGCTAGCTCAGTGAGGACCAGAGCGCAAAGGCTGCCTGCTGCTCAGCCTTTCCTCAGTGTTAGGAAGGTTGAATGTGGGGAAAGGTCCAGAAAGGAAGATAGGGCTCCTCGGACTCCAACCCCATCGGCAGTGAGGTTAACTGCCCATTCTCTCTCTTTTTCTGCTTTTACGCGGGTTCCCAGATAGCCACCTTCTTTGTCTTTCACAAGGGTGCCTGTTTAGTCTGTCCTCCAGGTTCCTTCCTTCAAAGCTGTGCAGTAGCCCCCTTTCTTCTTGCCCCCAAATAAGCACATAGGCCTCTTTTAATTTAAGGAGTTTATTGCTGAGCACCATGGAAAGTCACATGGGGAGAACATAAATAATAAACAGATGGCTTTCTAAATAATAAACAGAGATGGCTTTTGCCTCCGTTTTTGTTACTTTGAAAGAGTGAAACTCACCAGTGCCCCTGCTTCCCGTTTTTCCTTTCTCATTGTCTTTTCCACAGGTCATGAGACTCGTCCCCTCCACCACGGGCCTCTTGCTGTCTTGTAGGGAAAACCCCTCCAAAGATGCAACCCAGGACAACTGTCTGTCTGCTTTGTTTCTAGTGGACAATCTACAATTTTAAGGATTGTCACAAAAGGTGACGTCTGTTGTCCTCTAGCCTGGGTGATTGGTCACTAGGCCTCACATGGCGCAGGGCTAGTGGTTGGAGCGTTGCTCACTGTGCACATTTTGGAAGAGGCCGTCTTGGGACTCAGGAGTCGCTTCAGGGCAAGGCTGGGATGAGTGCAGGGTTTGACTCTGGGGGATCCTAATAGATAGTTGTTCTGAAACTGAGCTGGCCCTGCGGGACCTGTTGCAACTGGGAGGGCTCCGGCCACCCCTGTCTGAAGTCTCAACCCTCAACTCATCCAGAACAGAATTGTCACTGGTGGGGAAGTTGGAGGACTAACCTCTGGAGGTCCTCAGTGGGACAACCACAGCAGAAGCTGTCTGGAATGCGGTGAGGATGGAGATTGAGAAACACTCTTTCTAAACTTATAAGTGAAGAACCTGGCCTCAGTCCAGACCCTAAGGATGGGTCAGAGACTGGTGGGCAATCCCTGGGATGGCCTAAATGATCAGATCACTCTCCGAATTTCTACATACTTTCAAAGGAGGAAAACGATTTATTCAACTTCACTTTCCTTCAGCAAATATTTAATGCATGTCTAGAATGCACATCTTTCTCCCATAGAACTCAAGTTTTAGGGGGAAATACAGGCTTTAAACAATCACCGGCTCCTTCATTAAAGGGCAGAAATGGAGGAAGGAGAGGAAAGAAACTTGCATATACATTATATGCACGGGACCTCCCGTCCTCTCTGCAGGTGGGCAGATTAGACAAGCACATGGGTGACATGACGTGTGGCGAAATAGAAGAAAAAATGTCCAGATATTCCTTAAAGTACAGCCTCCCCTCAAGTCAAAGTGTAGGAAATTTCTATCATTAGCATTCCTCTACATAGCTATATATATACACACACATGTAAAATTCCTATCATTAGCATTCTATACATAGCAACATGTTTAAGATGTACATGTGTGTAAACACAAACATGCACACTGAATTAAGTTTTGCATGAATCTAACATTGATAAAAAATTGTAAAAGTTTGTCTTGGTATTCTAGATGCTTAACTTTTAAAGATTTTTCATGATGGTGTCATAATGTCGTTCTTTAATATCTCAATGTACTAAATGCACTTAAGTTGAAGTCCCTTGTTAGTGATGGTGGATAAGAATCTATATTTTAAACTGTCTTCAAAATTCAATTTTTTGCCAAGTTCTTGTCAGACTGGTTAATTCGTCAAGACTGGCTGGTAAAGATCGCCTACAAGGAGGAGTGAAAGTTGGCTTGCTACCTCTTCATTCTTCCCTAGGCCCCCAAACTATGCCATCTGTGTGGAACTGCTTTTAGACAATTGTCTGTTATGTGACGATGAGTTTAGTTAATAGATAATAAAAGCCACAGATCTGCTTAAGTGGATGTACATATACTAAAACACAAACAATAAACTAAAAGCCAGTGAAACCCATGAGGACACGGTTGTCAATGGCTCCTTGTTATAAAGACCCTCTTCTCTTCTGACAGGAGACTTGACTATCTCATATTTCAACCAAGAGAGGGTCTATTATAAATCTGTATATTAAGTACCGATAAAGCTTAGTCTCTTTTCCATTTTTAATAAAAATAAGTGGAAACGTGAGCATTTTCTTTCTCACGTCAGGGATCATCTCGTGGCATCTGTCGGAGTGTGTGCTCCCCACCTGACACCCTGGCCTGAACGATGGGCCTCCTCTCTTGGCGGGTTGTGCCCAGCCCCTTCCTGCACCCATGGTCTCACCTCTCACCGTACTCTAAGTGCTTCCTTCTCCTGTGACAACAAATTCCCAGCTCTGCTTCAGTGGACCCTTCTCTCTCCCTCCCAAGTTGTTTCATAGCTGCGTTTTATCTCATGTGTTCCCTCTTCCTGGAGGGAGCATCCACTCATCCTTCAGGCCTCAGCTCAGGGCAGCGCACCTGTCCCACCCAAGACTGGGTTATGCATCCTGCCTGTGCTCCATGACTCCAGGCAGAAGCCAATGTCTTCTCTCTCACCTGAGCACATAGCGGGATATGCTTATTTGTTTGAGTTCCTAGATAGACTATAAGCCTTTTGGAGACCAGAATCCTAATTTATCCATTTTTTTTATTCCTGTGCCTACCATGGCAACTGGCACACAGAGCATTTGCTCTGTTGCTGAAAATCCTTCTTAAAGCATCCATTAACCGGGACGGGTAGTGCCTACCATTCTGATCCTGTTATCCAATGAGACCTACTGACCCAGAGGAAACTGGGCATTCACTGCAGACCCTTGAGTGAGCAGCAAGGGGGAGAAGTTGAGTGATTTGCAAACATCTGTCTGAGGACCAGTGCTGGTCTATGGTCCAAGACAAGTTTTCACTGGCCTTGGGTAAGGGCAAAGAAGAAATTTTTCATAAAGTTAAATTGATTCAATTTGAAGGACTGTTCTTTCTCTGAGATTATATCCTTCCTACTATTTTGGTTAAAAGACCACTTCCTTTTTGAACTGATGATGGTAATAGTAATTGGTTGATTTTTTTGTATGCATCTTTAATTGGCAAAATTAAAAAATAGCAACCTTACAGAAATTTCCAAAGTAGTTTTGACATTTTCCTGATCTATTAAATCCAAATGCTCAGTAACCACTGGCCTAGCATAAAAGACACGACTGGGAAAGAGAGTGTGTGGGGAGCCATGGAAGTCTGTGGGTACCCTAGGGGAGGACCCCGCCAGGCTCAGAGAGGGAGGGGACAGATGGAGGCCTCTGCTCCACCACCCAGAAGGCACAGGCTCCAACCACAGCTCTATCCTGATAGGGGTGGCCCTGGTCACAGACCTTTCTTCTCAGGGCCGCAGCTTGCTCCTTTGTAATGAGGCAAATGCTCAGATGACCTCCATGGTACTTTCCACCTCCAGCAGTCTTAGTCCATGATATTTCCATGGCCTCCTGAGGCTAAAAGTTGCACTGGAGATGTCCTTACATATTTGATGTTCTGTTCTTTCCGCAGACCCTGTCCTACAACAAATATAACCTCAAACCCCAAACAAGTGAGAAGCAGGCTAAAGAGATTCTGATCCGCCGCCAGAACACCTTGAGGGAGAGTATGCGGAAAGGCCACAGCCTGCCCTGGGGAGAGCCGGTAAGGTGGGGACGGTTGGCTCACCTGACACCTGGGCCCGTCCCTGTACAGGGCCTCCTCAGGTGACTGCCATCAATATTTAAACAAGCAAACAAAACTGCCACCTTGTTGCAAGAGAAATACAAAAGTCTGAGAATGTAGGACACCGGACAACCTGCTTCTCTGGGTCCAGGGCCTTAGGAAGCTGAGGCGTCTGTCCATGGGGTACATGGCAGCAAACTGCCCTCTGGGATGGGTCAGTGACCGGAACACACTCAATGGTCTGTGAGTCTAGACCAGATACCATGGTATCCAGGTACTGAACATTCCGGGGAACCTCCATGGGCCAGTCCCCTGGCTCTGGGAAGCTTACTTCTCTCTCAGGAAGATATGGGGAAGAACTTGTTCTTGCCAAGGCTCCTGGGCTCTGTCTTCACATCACCCGCTGTGCATCTGAACTATTCCATTCGAGGCCATATCCAAGCCATCTTACGGGGACTTCTGGATGGAGGTTGGGGCTGGAGTAGACCCTAACCTCTACCTTGATCTCCATGGGGCCGCGGGAGTAACTTTGAGGGGCTCGTAACGGTCCAGTTTATCATGCGAGGGAGAGGAAACACACACTGAAGGTTGAAGCATTCTGTTTTCTTTAAACGAAAGTAACTGCAAACCAGTAATCCAAACAAGATGCTGAAGTACAAGTCTGTCCTTCACCCCGTTTGCTGTGTGAAGCCCCAAATTGCAGTAGCTAACCCTGCTTATTTCTACTTGTTGCCCACAGGCCGGTGCCAAAAACATCCGCTACCTCTCCTTTCCCTACGGCCATCCTCAGCCAGCAAGCAGACACAGGAGGGTTGCTGAGTTCACAGGTAACCTGCCTGCCTGGCTGCTCTTCCTCTTTTCTGTAAAGGGTCAGATGGTCAATATTTTCATGGGCCAAAAGGCAAAATCAAGAATATTGTATAGCTACTTATATGACAAGAGAAAGGGAAAACAACTTTTTTATTAATCTAACTCAGAACTTTAATTATGGACATTGAAATTTGAATTTCATATAATTTTTACTTGTCAGGAAATATTCTTCTTTTAATCTTTTTTGAGTGATTGAAAAATGTACCAACCATTCTTAGCTCGTGGGCCATACATGGCTACAGCCAAAGGGCTTACAGAATGTAGAAATGTAAAGTGCGCACTTTTTTGAAGTTATATGATTCACCCATAGCTCAAAAACTAGCAAAATTCTTCAAGGTGGTTAAATTTTACTAAGATAATTTAATCAGATTTACTGATTAATGTTTCCCACTTAATATCTAATGCTTAAGGAGAATTCCTAGAACCACTGAAACTGCCTATTCTAATAAAAGCCAAGTTATTATTCTTAAAATGTGTACATAAGATAATTTTCTATTAGAAAAAGGTGATATGTATAATTCATATAATATGCTATGCTATTTTAATTTTCCTAAATTGTTTCTTTTTTAAAGATTGGCACCTGAGCTAACAGCATTGCCAATCTTTTTTTTTCTTCTGCTTTTTCTCCCCAAATCCCCCCGGTATATAGTTGTATATTTTTTAATTTTTAGTTGTGAGTCCTTTTAGTTGTGGCATGTGGGACACCACCTCAACATGGCCTAATGAGCGGTGCCATGTCCTCGCCCAGGATCCGAACCATTGAAACCCTGGGCCACCGAAGCGGAGCGAACGAACTTAACCACTCGGCGACGGGCCGACCTCAAATTTTCCTAAATTTTTAAGACTTAAAATCATCTTGGAAATTCACATAAAGTAAACACATAGAATTTGAGAATTAAATAATTGACTAAATATAATTATTCTTTAAGATCAAACTTTACTTTTTTCTGATTTGAAAACATGCTCGATATAAAATCAATCAATAGAGAAAAGCATACAAAAAAGTAAAAAGCATTTGAAACCCCAGCACCAAGATAGAATCATTAGAGAATATTTTGGGAAGCAGCCTTCTATAATTCTTTCTACCCCATCGTGATCCTTACTCTACTTGTACTTGATACCCAAAAAAACCCAAAAAACAAAAACACAAACATGCAGCATCATATTATATAAAATCATAGTATAGTCATTGTGTCGTAATTATTATAAATTGCCTAGTCAATCGTATAATGTGGACATATTTCCATGTCAATAGATATGAACCTAATGATCATTTTTAATGACTTAATAACAGCCAATTATATAAAAGCACCGTAGCTTATTTAGGTAAATTCTATTAGCAAGTATTTAAGATATTTCCAGTTTTTAGTGCGTATAAGCAATGATATCTCATAAGCACCTTGGATCACTTGTGATTGATCTTTGCACAGATAACCAATTACAGTCTCGTGCTGCATAACAACATTGTGGTCAACGACAGACTACATATACAGCAGTGGTCCCATAAAATTAGTACCATATGGCCTAGGTGTGTAGTAGGCTATACCATCTGGGTTTTGTAAGTACACTCTATGATGTTCGCACAATGATGGAATTACCTAATGATGCATTTCTCACAACATATCTCCATCGTTAAGCAATGCATGACTCTATTCCCTTAATACATTTTCCTGGAAGTAAAATTTTTAGGTTAAAAATTATATATATTTAGGGGCCAGCCCAGTGGCATATTAGTTAAGTTCACATGCTTCGCCTCGGCAGCCCGGGGTTTGCAGGTTCAGATCCTGGGCGTGGACCTACGCACTGCTCATCAAGCCGTGCTGTGGTGGTGTCCCATATAGAAGAACTAGAAGGACTTACAACTATGTACTGGGGCTTTGGGGAGAAAAAAAAAGAGAAAGATTGGCAACAGATGTTAGCTCAGGGCCAATCTTCCTCACCAAAAAAAACGATAATAAAAAAAATTATATATATTTAAATCTACTCTCACATCAGCAGTCTACGGGAAAGGTCATTTCTGAACACTTTTATCATCACTGGGATATTGTCAGACTTTTGAGTAATCTATGATATGACTGGATAAAATTTATATACCATATTTAATTTTCATATGAGTCTCTTTGATTTTTAGTGAGGTTGAACATATTTTCATATTTTTAGAGGCAATTGTATTTCTTTGGGGGAAGTTTTTATTTGTGCCTTTGCCCATCTTTTTTTATTTAGTTATTTGCTTTCTTAAAATGAATTTGAAGAACACGGTATAGCAAGGATATCATCCATCATCTCGTATTTGTTGCCAATGACTTTTCCTCAAGTTTCACATTTATCGTCTAGTTTTTAGACTTATTTGCCATTCAGAAATTTTTATTCTGATTAATCAAATCTGCTCGATCTTCCTTGCAAGTTACCTGCCCAAGCCTCTTCCTAGTACATGGAACCCACTTTCCATAACCAGAGGGTGGTCAGGAAACTGTGGCTCGAATCTGTTCGCTGATGGGGAGCTGACGCTCAGAGGAGCAGTTGGAAACCAGGAGGGGGAGCAGAGGAAAATGAGAGGGAGGAGTGGCTCTTGGGGGCAGAAGTATCCAGGCCGTTGTTTCCTTTGGTGGTGTTCCAGCACCAAAGGACCAAGAGGAATGCTGGTCCCAGGCCAGATCGTAGAGCACAAATTAAAGAGAAGTCATGAAAAAATGGACAAATATACTAACTAATGTGTTCTTTGTTCAAAGCAGTTGATTCTTGCCCCCTGCCCTCCTCAACCTCTAGGCCACGTTGTCAGGAGAACTTGCTCACACTTTGAAAAACATTATTGAACAGGGTATTCTAGGATTTTCTGATGTCCCACATTTTAAACACATCTTGTCAAGTATATACCTGTGTGCATATTAGTTCTACCTGTGGGGTTTTTGTTTTGTTTTTTTAGGAGAGAGGAGAGAGCAGGCAAAAGAAGCCTGCTTTTGGATTTAAATACAACAGTCTTAAAATACCTAAATTCTCAAGAGAATATTTAAAGGAGAATAAATTGATAAGGTTAAAACTTTGAAGAAATGAAAATAAAAGAGATTTTTGAAATATATTCTTTCAAAGATGTGTGCACAGTGAAGCAGGGAAAAGGCAGTGTCCCAAGCAGGGGTCAGATGTTTGGAAGGCCACCTCAGAGGATGCTTTACAGAGATGTCCAGTGGCTTCCTTCCTCTCATGCGGAGCCCTCCGAACCCACACGTGGCAAGGAGACAGTGACAGCCAGGTGAAGGGAAGATCACAGCTGGATAGGCTCTGCCCAAGCTCTACTCCCATCTTCATTGTGTGACACTGAAAGTCACTTCATCTCTTGAAACCTCAGCCTCTTTACCACTGAAATGAGGGTCATAATTTTACTCATTTCAAAGGGTTGTGATGAGGATTAAATGGCATAATAGATGTGAAAGGATTAGCACAGTGACATAGTAAGATCTCAGGATGGCCGTCACCATCATTGTCACTGCCATTGTGTGCCACCACAATCTGTTCACCTTCTTACTTCCTTTGAGAGAAGAGCTTCGAGTCAGGGTTGTCTTCCACACATGGCTCTCTCCTGTGACTCCCTCCCATCCCTGTTTCTCCATGATTGGCTATTTCAAGGTCAAAGGGATAAAACTCAGATTTACGGCTTTCTGGTAACCACTGATTAAAAAACAAACTAAGATAAAACCAATCATTTTCATATCACCATACGATGTAACCTTCAGTTTAGCATTGGTCTTTGACTACACAAAGTAGCTTTGTGCCTTATGGCCTAATGCCTATGGCCAATTGATCTCAGTTTGTACAAAAACACTCCCTTACTGACCTGGAAAAGACTAGCTTGATACACAGGTTTCCATGCATTTCTGTTTATTTATAACGTTGTGTGTATAGCTTCTTTTCCACTCCTCTCTTAGGGTAGCCACCTTGAAAGGGGAAAATCATGCTGGTCAGAAAGTTGAGTATAAGAGCTAGAAGCTCAAGAATGACTCAGCTTCACTCTGAGTTCTTGCTGTCTGGATATTAAGTCTTAACTCTCTGATCTTAAGTCTTGTTCTTTCCTCCTCTTGTCATATTTTCTTAGACAATGACAGCAGTGACTCAGAACGCCCATCCATCATGTTCAAAGAACACTCTCAAAGAGATTTGCCTCAAGAAAGATACCCAACACAAGAAATAATCCCGATGAAGAGTTTATACAGAGGAAGGAAGCCGACCAACTTCCGTTATCAAAGAAATACAAGCCAAGAAGAGCATGTTGGCCAAGGAAGAAGGGCAGCTTTAAGGCCCAAACCACTGTTTCGTGCAGTAGATGAGGAGTACGAATCTGGAGAGGAGAGTGCGGAAGAGGCATCAGCGATTGGGCCCGGATGGCCACCTGAGCACAGACCCAGCAGGGAGCACCACAAGTCCCACAGTCCTTTGCTTAGAAGAAAATAGCTTTATTGTCCGCAAGATTGTTTCTGTGTTTTTCAGGAGCCTGTCTTCCTATTATTGTCAAAGAAGGATTTTCAGAGTTCTGAAGAAAGCTACCGAGTTTTCCTTTTTTGAAGATATCAGACATGCATCTACACCAGGCCGGGAGATTTTTCGGAGGCCTGAGAGCAACTTGTAGGCTCTGCCGTTCGTAGCTGATGTACTTAGTAGATGAATTCCCTGTGAGGGATAGAACTTAGTCACCCCCAAAATTATTCACTATGAATCACTAAGAGTGTGTGATCCATGTAATTCATTGAGATACAAGCGTGATTTGTCAGTAATTCACCTTGACCATATGCATGTGCGCCTTATAATCAAGTTAGAACTAGGAGAGGCCTTAGAAATCGTCTGGTCCAACCACCTCTGTTTATGGGTAAAAACACTTTGCCCAAGGTCACGTGGTGAGTTGCTGGCTTCACAAGCTAATTGTCCTCCCTCCCAAGTGAATACATTCGATTTGGATTTTGATATGCACTATGTAATAATTGTATTTCTGAGGAGAGGCACCATTTGTCATCACATTGCCATATTTAATCAGTAGCAATGACTGACAGAAGTGATACAGACTATAGGACTAATCTGTGAACAGATTATTCTAGTAGATTAATCAGCAGTCTATTTTCTAATTGGAATATTTATTTTAAAAATAAATATTAGAAACAAAACAGCCATAACGGGCTTTAACAGCAATGACGCAGACGACAGGTATTCGTGAGATGCGCCGTGTAGGGTATGATATCTTGCTCTAGGGTTTCTTTTCTAGACTATAACAATGTTTATTATTTTTAGACCATTATCTAGTCATTTTTTTAACCAACGTATAGTTGACATACAATATTCTGTTAGTTTCAGGCGTACCTCCTAATGATTCAACATTTATATTCATGACAAAATGCTCACTACGGTATGTCTAGTTACCATCTGTCACCATACAAAGTTACTGCAATGTTATTGACTACGTTCCCTATGCCGTACATTTCATCCGTGTGACATTTATTCTATAACTGGAAGCTCGTACCTCTTAGTCCCCTTCACCTGTTTCACCCAACTCCCCACCCCCTCTCCTCTGGCAACCACCAGTTTGTTCTCTGTATCTAGAGCTAACAACTATTTTCCAATTTAATTTTCCATCCTCAACATCCCCAAACGTGACCTTGAACTTGGACTCCAGCTCATCAATTTTGCTAGATGGCTTTATCTTTCCTCACTCCTTCCCCTCTCTTCCTCTACTGTCTCTTCTGGCCACCTATAGATTAACAAATATTTATTAAGTGCTATTTATTATGCCAAATGGCTAATCTATATTAATCAAATAATCATAATATTCTTTATCATTGCCATTTTTGGTATCTGTAACCATTCCCAACTGATTTAATCCTATTCATCTTTAAAGGCCGTGACCCACTGCACTCTGCTCCCTAGGCCTGCCTTGATCCCCTGGATCAGAAGTGACCAAGTGATCACTCTCCTCCTTGGAGCCCCACACCACTTCAGACGTGTCACAGAACTTCTCTGGGAATTACGCTTATGCATGTGCGTGTGCATCCGATGGTCCGTGGTCAGACAGATGAGGAGGATAGTGTGTTCATTTTAATTTTTATCCCTTCATCAGCTGTATCTTTTATTTCTTGGCTTTATCTTTCTTCTACTTTTTTTTTTTTTTAGCTTTTATCAACTTTTTCTCTCAGTTATTATAGTAACTTGTACCTGGTAGATTGTCTATAAATGTTGAAGTGACACGACAATTTAGAGCTGGCAAGGACATTAGAGATGTTGTCAGATATTCTTATTTTCCAGGTGACAAAAACAAGGTCTGGAGAAGCTACCTGGTGCCCGTTCAGGGTCTGCTTTGCCCTGAAGGGCGTGGGCTTGTCCTGTAGTATAGCCCGTGGATGCCAGTGACTGTCAAAGGACATACGACTTTCCCTGGGTTTGTATTTTTGTGAACGCCATTCACTTAGGTTCCTCCTGCAGTGGAAGAAATGGCTGTCAAAGGAGGCTGCTTGTCTTTCTTCTTCTGAATCTGAAATAGAAGACTGCTTATGAGTTATCAAGAATACTTTGATTTTAGTGAAAATGACACACTACCAGATAATGGTAATCAGCCCAAAGGGATAGAAGCACCTATAAAATCCAGGGATCTCTGGGTTCTCCTTTTTCTTTAAACAAATAAGCAGTCAAAGTAACAGAAAAAACTTTATGCTCCATGAGGGGGAGTCAGTGAGTCATAATCCTTAAACTGTAGATGGAGATACAGAGACAGAGAGGAGTCGTCAGAAATCACCTTTCCAAAGCCATCTGTAAAGCTGATTCTCGAGAAGTGAAGAGCGCCTGTGTCCCTTGCTGGACTCTCCACAGAACAGCAGAAATCCACACTGTGAAAGCCCCTACGCAGAGTAGCCAGCAAGGGCCAAGGATTAGTGGAGTCTGTCTGACTCTCCTGTTTTTCTCTGAGATGCTGGTGCCTTTTCAGAAAAGGGGGGCGGGATTTAGTGAGTACTTCGGAACTTGCCCCTTTAATTAGTAGAAGCCACAATAGAGTCGTTTGCCCCGAGGTCATTTGTTCTTGTAGACACTGCCTCGACCGAGTCTGGGAAGAGGTCCTGGAGCTCCCACCTGAAAGGCGAGGCAGATTGAGGGCCCTCACCACCCGTCCTGGCAGCTCTCATAGACTTGCAGACCTCCTGGAGGAAATGTCCTCTTTGTTTATCATCCAGGATTTTTTCAAAGTGCAGTGTGATCTGATCTTCATTCCATCAGCCACAGCCCGCTTTGGGGATTGGTTGAGAGTGTCATGGATGCTGCCCCAGAATGGTCTTGGGTACCGGTTTCACATGATGAGTTTTTCCAACAGGCACCTAGCAGTGCAGCAGAGAAAGTTTCCTCTTGAGTGTGAGGACGATCTGGTTCTTGTTCCCTACTCACCTTGGGGTGGGGATGGGGTCCCATGAGGGGTGCCCTCCTGGGTCTGGCTGCTGTCCTCTGAGCCATCCACCTTCTCTGCCAGTGGTAGAATTTGCCCTTTTACTTCTTCAACTTTTACAACTTCAAAAAATTGGACACACAACCCACAAAGTCCTAATTTCCCTCTGTAAGCTTTTTGTTTGTTTTGTTTTGTGTTTTACTTTCTCAAAGCTGTTCATATTGCTGGCCTGAATGGTCTTGGGTTTCAGTGAATTCTGATGTTGGTAAAGTAGCACTTCCTTTGATTTGTGCTATACAGAAGCTTTCCACCGTAAAGATTTTCCACACATTTTCTGGTGTTTGGGATATGGGAAATGTTCTTATTTATCCTCCTCAACCCTAACATGATGTCATGGGCACCTCTCCTGTCTTTAATCAACCTGCTAAAAGAGAAGGATTGGCTGTAAAGGGAATCTGCTGTGACAAAATGGAGAAGACATTCTGGAACTTCATTATGCTTCCTTCACGCTCTTCCCTCTCTCATGAAGGCCACATACCCGTGTTTCTCTTCTTGGAAAAAGACAAAGGGTCATGGGAAGAAGGGCTGGAATTGCCATCTGAATTAGTGATAGAATCACCATTCCTATCTGTAAGTGACTACTATGGCAGGTGTGTGGCAGAACTCAGGTCTCTAGCCGAGAGTGTTGGCTTCAGCCTTCATGGAAGCTTCCAGAATACTTCCTCACCTGTTTGGATGCCTGCCACTCAGATCATTTAGGTATTCAAATCCATATGGTCAGTTGAGGGCTCAGGCTCTGAAGTCAGACCACTTCAGCTGTGGGACCTAGGGCAACTTGATGTCTTCCCTAAGCTGAAATTCACCAATTGATAAAACAAGGTAATAATTTTATCTACCTCATATAATGATCATGAGGATTAAATGAGACAATATATGTAAAATTCTTGACTTAGTGCTTGTTTTATAGTAAGAGCTCGATCACTAAAGCTATAATTATTTAAAATACATAAACTCATGAGAGAGGACATACATTGATTTGATTACATGAAGAGGTATAAATAACAGATATCTGAGACTTTTCTGAGAAGCAGTTTGATTGACATAATAGAGGATATTTGGGGGGACTGGGGAGAGGATGTGACAGAAATAGCATTGAAAAACGTGATCATAGTTGCCCTTGGTCATGCCACTATCCAGCATCCGTCAATCAACAGAAAACCCACATAAGGTCTGGATGCCAATTCATGTTTTACAGTCAAAACTTGCTTATTTTTTTGTTCTTACCTCAAAAATTATTGCATTTTCCTACTTTTGGGATAGTTACTCAGGTGTACTATTGTAAGCATGGTTTATTCTCAAATATACAATGAATTCAGAGGCCCTGCCACTGCTTCTCATGATAGGCACCTAGTGAAGAAAGAGAAAATGTCTCTTTGCTGGGGAAATATTCAATGGAGTTTAATTCCTCAGTTTTCAACTTCTTTTCTATACAAGACCTCTCCTCCAAAAAGTGATTATCTTAACTTACGAATATTAGCTAGAGAGATAAGTGTTCAAGAATTTTCAGCACAGGAAAAAAAAAATAGTTTCTAGTATGTTTCCTAACTTTCCAAAATTAGGAAAAGTAATTTCTTTTTTCTTTTTAGCCAGGAAAGATTTGCCCTGGGCTAACATCTGTTGCCAATCTTCATCTTTTTTCACCCCTCCTGAAAGCACCAGTGCATGGTTGTATATCCTCGTTGTAAATCCTTTGACCGTAGTCTATGTGAGCCACCACCACAGCATGGTAACTGACAGACAGGAGGTGTGGTTCTGCAACCAGGAAGTGAACCTGGGCTGCCGAGGTGATGAGAGCACCAAACTTTAACCACTAGGCCATCAGGGCTGGCTCAGTAAATTTTTTTTTCTTTGAGGGAGATTAGCTCTGAGCTAACATCTGCTACCAATCCTCCTCTGTTTGCTGAGGAAGAGTGACTCTGAGCTAACATCTGTGCCCATCTTCCTCTACTTTATATGTTGGATGCCTACCACAGCATAGCTTGATGACCAATGGGTAGGTCTGCAGCCAGGAGTGGAATGAGCAAACCCCAGGCTACCAAGGCGGAGTGTGCAAACTTAACTGCTATGCCACCAGGCTGGCCCGCAGTAAATTTTTTTAATAAATAAAGCCAGTGAATGCATTGGTGTTGTCTAGGGCTTTCGCAAGTATATTTTATCCACAAATAAAACAGGTGGTTTCTTGTAGGTTTTAATTTTTTTCCTGTTTAAACTCTGTCAAATATCTTATTTCTAACTCCTCCTGAGAAAACCCAGCAGTGCAGACAGAGAGCTTCCTTCTAGGACATCAGTCGCTGTTAATTGTTAATTGGGCCATAAGCCAAGGGGAATGAAAGAGATGCCCGCATCAGTGCTAGTGGCTCCTGCAATTAGCAAGTGATGTGTTGTTTCATCTGTGCACAAGATTTGATTTAAAAATTTTTTTCTTTCTGAGACTCTAATGAGCCAGGGGTGCTCAAGTAAGTATGGCGGGTTAATCTAAATTTTCATCGTCCGGCCTTCTGGGAGTCAGAGTTTATTCAACAAAGTAACTGGAACCAGGGCAGTGGCTACTCTGTTTCCAGGCACAGGAATACAGATGTAGAACCGAAGTGGGTGGTCCTGAAAGCAAGGTGTTTTCTCTGTGTTCTAGAATATCAGCCTCGAACAGAACCATAGCAGCCAACATGTAGAAAGTGCTTATTGTATCCCAGGCACTATTCAAAATGCTTTACATACGTCCATGTGGTATCACCATCTGAAAAGAAACAGGTTTAGGGAGATTAAGTAACAGCTCCAAGGTCTCCCTGCTTCCAGAGAAGATCTCGGAAACCAAGTCTGCCTGCTCCATCACCAGCGACCTGAACTCTCTCCCTGAGAAGAGCTGGGAATTTAGTGACCAGAGCCACACGTAGTTCTCTTTCTCACTTGGGAAAGATCCAACGGGAAGAAACAGAGAAGCTTCATCCTGCCAGAAAAGAGCTTTGCTTTAGAAGGGACAAATCAGTACAGATTTTGTATCGTGATTTTGAAAATCTGCTTTTACAAACCTAATGGATGACCTGAAAAGTGAGTGATGAGCAGGATTGATCATTTGTGTCATTAAGATTTGTTTTGAGGACTCAAATAAAATGTTTTGTGTCTGATTTTAAATTGTTTCTTTTGAATATCAGTTATATGTAGTTTCCAAGGAACTTTGTTTTTGGTCCTCAGATACAGTCCCACCCAGACAAGCTCCACGGTCCTGGGCAGCTCTGAAACACTGCACCGTGCTGTCGACTTATGATGGAAATATAAACCAGCAACCCACTGAAAGGATGGAAGGGGGTGGCAGAAGGACTTTGACTATTGAAGCATTCATATAATAATCAGAGAGGAATTTATATTCTTGGTAAGCACTGTACCATTAATTGAAAACATGCAACGTGCTCAGCTTTTTACTAAAGAACTTTACGTATACATTTTTTTAAGAATGTAATTCTCATAAGAGCTGTCTGACTCCAAAGGCATAACTCTATCCACTAAGCTGTAGTCATACCCTTATGGCTGTTGTGAAGAATAGAGTAACCTAAAACGTCAATCTGCCATATGCCACCATCATTTGAATTCTTAAGATCATGTCACTAAATCAAGAATAGTTTAGGTCTTGTTTATACACTGTTGCCACTGACACCAGTTTCCTTTCTGTTAACTTGGTATGGAAGTGCTAATTGAAGCTGACAGTGGCTTTGGCCAAATCATTGATTCAGAAGTCTTTAATTATAGTGAAGTGAGAACTTGAATTATCCTTTAACCGATTTTTTTAATTTAAATATTTTTATTCCTATTGGATTTTATCTTTGAGCTAATGAAAATACTAGACATAGAAGCCAGCTAGAAACTTTTAAAATAAGGGGTTACCTAGAACCATGGCCCTGGACCAGTTTAAAAGGAAGGAAGGCCCTCAATGTTTCATTTATTTTGTTTTCTTACGGGAATTTTTCTAGGTAAGAGAGCGAGTGAAACTCAGTCTCTGGGTTTCGCTGGTGTCCTGTTTCACGGGTGAAGGCTGCCTTTGTTGTGAGTTCTGCTTGTCCTGGACCTGGTTCAGCAGGCAGCCCTATTATCCAACTATGCCATCTTTAAAAGGGGCTGTGTGGATGGGAGGGTCCCCAAAGGTCTAAATGCAGAAGTTAAAAAAAACCGCCAATCAGAAAGAGGAAAGAAGGATAAATGTTCTCTCCTCCAGAAAGGGGATATTCTTAAAACAAGGGGACAAAAGGACAGATCCTCCCTCACCCAAGGGCACACCCAGAGGAAAGGCATACAGAGCAGGGCAGGACAAACCAGCAGTTTTAAGAGCACAGCGTTTAGCAAACAATGCTTGCTGTACTCCACCCACACCCCTGGTGCTGAATTTCAAGTTCTGAATTTAGACAAAACGACTGGAATTTCTGCAGGCTTACTCTACAATACATGGAGCTTTGGGCAGCTCTCTGTTAAAAATATCTGGACAAATATTGCAAGAATGAAAATGAATATTTGTAAGGTAAAATACGTCCATGGCGAATTGGGGTAAACAAATTCTTCCAGTCAGAATGAGCAGGACACAACTGTTTTGGGAGTAACTCACAAGTGGATTAATAGTTTCGTAATGACTTGAGGAGGTGGGAAGAATTTATTGGAGGAGAAAAGGTACAATTGTGATTAAATCATATTAGACCCAGCATGGTATCTAGGGTAGGCTAAGGAAACCATCATATAGAGGAAGATAATTTAAAATTTCGTATATTATTTGTAAGTGTTGGAATATTGCCCAGTGTTCTTTTCAAGACTATAAACTCTTTGAATGCCAGACACAAAGAAAGCCCTGGGGAAATGTTGCTGCACAATACGTCCTAATAAGTCCAAAGATCTAAATATCTCACAGCAATGGTCAAATCTTGGTTTAGCACTCCAGGAGCTTCTGAACTCTCTCTAGGATTACAGCGGGTATCGCTCACCTGGCAGTAGACTCTTTCCCACAGGGCATTACCACCTATCTGGGGATGACTGACAGCCTCCTCCTCCAACAGAGCAACAGAGAAGAATTCAGGATCAGAAGGTTTGGGGTGGAGTAGCAGCTCCATCGCTTAGTGCTTGTGTGATATTGACCAAGCTCTCTGACCTCTCGAGTTGGTTGCACATCACGAAATT